GTGCACGGGGAAACGTTTCTGGGCGATATGTCAAAGGAAATTGGGATTTTCATGACGCGAGCGTTTCTTTACTGTGGTGGATAATTTTCATTAATTTCATGTTAATATTCGGCACTTGAAGAAACAAGCGGTGGTTGTGATATTTCATTGAAAGTTAGATGATTTTTGTTACTCGTGATATTCTGAGGATGTTTGAAAATCTTCGTGACAGAGAACAGGTCGAACTGTGTTATATTGGAGGAAATACATTGCAGGTTGTATATGTAATATTTAGAATGTTAAGTTTGTAATATTGATTGGAAGAAATTCTTTAATCGAGCTTCCCAATTTTATTAACATGAGGCCACAAGAGTATGTGGTTTTGTAATTAGTAAATTTCTAACTATACTATAATATCGTTAGAAACAGTGTTACAGTTTTGAAAAGAAGGAAATTATATATGCATTCTTTTCTTTTTAAATGTTCAAAGTAATGAAAGAATAAGTAATAAATGATTTCCGACATTTACTTCTGGAGGGTACCATAATTTCAATTTTGCTCCGCATAAATTGCATTTAGTATCATTAACAGCAACCTATCGACTCGAGACATGCATTCTTTGTTTATTAATTCAATACTAATGCATCTGTATCATAAAACGACTAAATACATTTACGTATTTGCTACGAATATAATAATCATATAATCTAAACTGTCGTTTAATATTGCTTTCAAAGTTGATAAATAATACATTCTGAAACGAGCTTGAATTAAATATTCATAATATGGAGGGTTAAACTATTAAATTATTGAAAACCGCAATTTATTTGCAGGTAATTTGAGAGGCTATTAGATGTTTAAAAATCGTATTTGGAATAAAACAAAAGTTAACATATATATTTCATATAATTTATACTGAGACCATTAAAAAGATGCAATGGTACTTTGAATATGCATACAGATCTTCTAATAATACTATTTCATAGTTACATAAACGATACTAAAAAGTTTCACTATTTACATTGACAAATAATTTTCCTCTACGTCTGATGAATTCATGCTCGCATTTTTAATATTTAGCGGATAGAACATCTCTCTGTATATTGCAAGGGTATATGTCCATTTTGATGAAACATTCATGGAAAGTAGTTGTTACAACAATATGTCGTACATACTGTTTTAATACAAATCTTATATATGTCTTTCAGTTTAAATTACCTAAGTTAAAACTTATCCTAATTAATTATTTCAATAATTGAATTGTTCTCGTATTTCTACAAAATGAAGTTTATAAGCGCATAGAAACAAATGGATAATATATTTCTATTATAATTTACCCTTATATAATTAGTTAAATTATAATAGAAATGTATTATCGGTCTGATTCTATGCGCTTACAAACTTCATTTTGCAGAAATGCAAGAAAAGTTCAATTATATTGATTATTTTTGTAACGCAAAAGTTAAAATTCTAGTAAGCCCGCACTATTTATGAATGCACATAGCTTTTAAACGCTGATATACAGAAAAATAGGTTAAGATCGAATTTAATAAATTTAGTGGATTAAATGTGGCATTTACAGCATTCTTCTATTTTCAGCTATGTCTAAAATATTACACGAAGTATGTTTTTCTCCAATATTGAGGATTGTTTTCACTCCTTCGATACCTATAAATGACGCTCGAGAAATGAAAATAGACCTCTATATTTATAACGATTTCCTATCAGTTACATTAAAATCAGCAGACGTTACTTCTTGTAGTTCCTAACAAGCTTAAAGTTCTGTCCAAAATCAAATGAATAAAAAAGTTACATGAAAAAAGTGCACACGAAGAAGGCGCACAGAAAAATGCGCACGTGTACAAAACCGCACAAGAGAAAAGCGCACAGCGTAAAATACGTGCAGTCCACAATCCGCACATATGCAGTGTATTATACAATTATAAAGCGATGTTAAATAATTTTCATTCCCTACATTTTATAAATTATTTATATTTCTTAAAACATCCTCTCTTCCCAATTCTTCTGCAATAATTTAATAAATTTTTGCATTGATCATTTTTCGTGTGCGTTTTTTTCTGACCACAGAATAAAAACAAGGAAAATAGTCCCATCAACAAAGACATAAAAATTTAATCAACATTTACAACAATATTTCCGAACATAACCAACGCAGAAACCAAACCAGCAATTTTAAAAAGCCTAGCAGAAGAACAAATAAAACTAATTCTCACGTGCAAGGTAAATTCCATGTACTGCGCTTGAGCACACAAGCATCGTCTTAAATTCATAATTCCATATAAAAATTACTTAATGCAAGGTGCAGGCAAACGATCTCTCGATTAACCGTAATCATTCCGTGGCGCATAATCGCGGACACGTGACGCTTAATATTCACGTGAGTCCGGTTGACGGCCTCGAGACTTTCAGCCTTGCGAGTTTATCGCGTCGCGAAGTCTACGTAAGGGTATTCGAGGGTGGCGCGACACAATCGCGCGCGAACACAGTAGCATAAGAGGCTGAGGCAGTGTGAGGGTATCTGTACGTGTATGTGTGTGTGAAACCGGGACGGAGAGAAACTATCTGCAGTTCCTACTACCCTATGGTGCCCCGTCGCGATTCGAGATCCACCGAACGGTCCTGAACTTGGAATTTCACCCTCTCAGTGCCACCTCCGTCGGCGGCCTTGACTCCTCATCTTCCTCGAAATCTCGCCGGTTCCTCGGCCTCGTATTTATCTTCCCGGTCAGTGATCGACCGCCGAACTTCATTCTTCCCGGCTCCGAGACGAATTCTACTATCACCCTTCTGGGTCTTTCAAGAGAATCCCTCGTTCACCGAACCGCAGCGACGGTAAATAAAATCGAATAAAACGATCGGATCAAATCTGACCGGAAACAGCAGGTCTCAAAGGCGATCGCTAAGAAAAATATACGTTAACACTCCAATCGCATTCGAAGAGAATTGACAAAACAGAATTAATACTAAAACCATTGAATATTAAGAACAACCTGTGCATGACATATAAAAATCAATGAAAATACATTTGTTCCAATTCCTCCGGGGCATTTATTGCGACATACAACCAAAAGTATCAAGTGTTGAAATAATATCGAATATAAACACCTGCATTCCCGCGGATTCTGAATCAAACCTAAAGTCAGTCGCTTCGACCGGTAGTCGTACCATCCAAAAAAAAAAGTGGAACTGAATGTAATCCTATCGAGAGCATCGGAACAATCCACACGTGGATTCCACCCCCGCTTTCCGTGAGTGCATGTTTCTTATCGGTTACATCGGTTGGCGGATAAGCGCGTGGATTCGTGACGGTGTGCGAGAGGGGTTGTCGAGGCGGGGGCGAGAGCAAGCGAGCGAGCGAGCCGTCGGGGCACGAGGGAACGGTTCGGGGGTAGGA